TTTATAACTGTCTAAACGTGTTTATGGATAACCTCAGAGCAGTTGGAGAGGTTTTGGGACGAAAGAATCCTTAAAAATCATCGAAATCCGTGTTTGGGGAGGTTTTTTATCCAACAAGAGTCCTGGTGACTCGGGACTGTGCGAGTCAGCTTCTGGTGACTCAGAACTGTGTGAGTCAGCTTCTGGTGACTCGGAACTGTGTGAGTCAGCTTCTGGTGACTCGGAACTGTGCGAGTCAGCTTCTGGTGACTCGGAACTGTGCGAGTCAGCATTTGGTGACTCGGCACTGTTCAAGCTTCTAAGCAATGTTTCGTGATTCTTCCAGCTTCTTTGTTTTGCGTACGCTTCGTCGCCTTGCTGATTTTGGATGAATTCCTTTGACTTGGATAATAACGTTTATCGTCTTTTCCTTGTCTTACACTGTGTTTGAGGACCTATGGGTAATTTTTAACGCCTACAGATACCCCCTCCAAAGTGTTTCAGTCTCGTTTCTTTTATAGAGGAGTCTAAAATACTTTGGATATGATAGGCTATATTTGCAGAAAGACCTATCATGGGTTTCATTTCTTGACTCCTTCAGCCCTCAATCTATTCAGAGTTCTGTCGAATAGATGAAGTTTTTACGGCTCTGCGTTTATCGTCTGACTGCTGTTGAAATCTTGAAACTAAATGGCGTCGCTGATTTAACGTTGAGTTGACCCTCGTTGTTGGGGATTTCCCATCTGGTGACGCCTTGACAGACATTGACCAAAAGTCATGCATTTGAAGCAGAGAGGACCAGTTTATACTCGTATACTCGCTTATCTTAGCGTTATGACGCCGGCTTCAACCAAGGTCTGAATGCTATTCTTGAGAGTGAAGCAATTCTTGGTGGGATGAAGGACCCTCCTGTGGTATGCACAGTACTTTGGATCCGTAGTTTTGTCAGCTTCCTCCTGATTTGTGATAGGTGGTAGCTTGATCTTGTTGCTTCCAAGGAGGGATTCGAAGATGGCTGGAACGTCTTCGTCCTTGAAAGAGTACTCTTTTTGGAGTCTCGGACCCGAAGTCTTTTGCTGTTTTCGGAGTTGCTTTTGCGACGTCTGGTTAGCGTCAACAGCTGTTGCAGGTGATTTGCCTTTGCCACGAGAGGCAAAGTTAGAATTCGGAGGCTTAGTTGTTGATTGACCCCTCTCGGTTTTCTTCCTTCGGAGGAATCGCTCAGCTTGCTCTCCTCGTACCTTTAATTCCTTCCATGTCTTGGATGGTGCGGTACCCATAGCTTCTAATACATCTATGGAAAGATTATTATGGCACGTCTGGAGTATGAACTCCTCCGTGACCGGATCTCGGCAGTTCATTGCCTTGTTCCGGAAGCGTTTAACAAAGTTTTCCACGAGTTCTCCATCTTTCTGCTTTTCTTCAAAGAGCGTCCCGATTGACACCTCCGTGTCATCGTCGAAGAAATTAGCGAGAAACATGCTTTCCATATCGTCCCATGTAGTGATACTTCCCGGTTTAAGCCGGCGGTACCAATCAAACGCAGCAGCGCGAAGGGTTCCTACGAATGATCGTACCATCAGAGGTTCGTTACCTGAAATGATCCCCAGGTGAGACTTGAAATAAATCAAGTGTTGGGTAGGGGAGCCCCTTCCATCGAATGGTGTGAAGTTAATCAAATTGAACTTTGGTGGGTACGGTATGGAGTCCCACTCCCTCGGGTAGGGACACGGAATGCCAGTCTTTTTTACTTCTTGGGCAGACATCAAAGCATTGATTTTGCTTTCCAAGTCTTTCATCTTAAGATCTTCGCCTACCTCACTCTTCTGGTGATTTTGAGGATGGATATTGATACCACCCCCAGCGTTAAGAACGCCTTCCGTATTCCTGTTCTCGCGGGGAGTCTCGATGTTAAGATTTTCTTCTACCTCTGAGTCGCTATCTATCCGATTAGCGGTCGGACGACGACTAGATTCACCGCGCTGGTTTGTCAGCTGTTGGAGTTGTTGTGCGTGTAAATCTTTAACACGTTGTACAGCCATCTCCATTTCAATTTTAAAATCCTCCTTTTGCTTTGCCAAAGATTCTTGAAGAAGTTGAGCCATCTGTTCAGTGGTGATCATGAACGACTCTCGAGTCTGTCCTGTACTGGATACAGTAGCATCTGAAGCGATCGCTGAGTTAGCATCCGACGCTTCTTCGTCTGAGGACTGTCCTCTCTGGATTCTGTTGTAATTGTAATCTCTAGGCCTTATAGCCCCGGTTTGCAGCCGAGTCAACCATTTGGACATTTGTGAAAAAGGCTCAGGGCTATAGCGCCGCGTGGACTTTCCTTTTTCTGCCATATTAATCGTGAATTCCGAAAGTTCACGTTCCTGAACGGGTGGCTTTCTTTTACGGAAACGTCTTGATTTGTTTCTCTCCGTTTCTGTAGAAAGTCTTTCAAACACTGAAATCCTTTGCAAGGCAGTCTTGGAACAGTTACATTCTGCTAACACTGCCTTGATGAGTTTAGTACAAGGACAATGAGAATCCCTTTCTCGGGAGTTTCTCTTCCGAGATTTACTCATGCCCTCAGTCTGATAGTACAGCTCATCGATATTATTATCGGAGCCACCTATCTTGTGTTGGCATAACCCTCTTATTCTAACATCGTCTTCTTCTGACGAATAAAACTCTCTTTGAGGATATATCGCTCCGTCATTATTTTCAAGAGTCGCTCGTTTGAAAACTCGCCTTCGCGCGCGTGAGGGTTCAACAGAATCTCGAACTTCTACCCGTAGCCCAAGGCGAGCGGTTACTGGTACTTTCTCTGTATGAGGGATTTTTGAGTTACTGGAGACTCGCTCCCGACCCCCATTCTGACAAATCATGCGGGGTTTATTTTTATGCAAAGGGCCGAGACGATCCATAATGCTCATTTTAACTCGGGATGAGTCCACGCCGCCGTGGGGTTTTACAGGAGGTGAGGAAGTCATTGGAACAAAAGCAGGAGCTGTCGGAGACTTGAAGCTGGTCGCAGGAGGCGAAATTTCTGCAGACAGAGATGAACCAGCTCGCGGGTCAGCAATTGGTGACTCGGCCTTGGCCGAGCCAGCGTTTGGTGACTCGGCCTTGGCCGAGCCAGCAGCATGTGCCTCGGTTTTTTCGGGCTTTGTTCTGGATTTTGGCCTCCAGATTTGACGTGGTTTCGTCAGTTTAAAGTCTGCAGTACTTGTTTGTAGTTTCTTGGCCTCTTGTACCAGGATTCTTGCGTGCGCAAGTAAAGCGTGGCGCTTCTTGGTTCGTTCTTCAAGAGTGGAACGTGTCCTCTTAACGGGGACCCATTCATTTGTCTTAGGTTTGGACCAATCGCTAAGTCGCTGCTGTGCCTGTTGGCGTCCTCTAGACTTCAGATCCGCTTCGTAGCGGATTCCATCCACCGGCTCGGAGGCCTTGGCCAATTGGCGTGCTAGGCGTTGACGCCGTCTTTGACGCGCCCTCTTGGATAAAGTTGGTTCGGCCTTGGTAGCTTCAGCTTCACAAGGAGTCTTTTGAACCGCTGCGGGATGAGGTTCTTGATTTTGAACCTTCAAATCCAAATGTCCTCGACCTTTCCTTGTGGAGTTTCTCCTATTCCTACGAGGGGAGGATGATCGGGAAGAGGAGGATAAGTACTCTTCATATTTTGCTTGGTCGAACTCGTACTCGACCTCCTCGTTGATCGGTATGACGATCTTTGGTTGCGACACTACAGCTTTTGCAGAAAAGCTGTCGGCTCCCACTGTGGTCGCCAGTTTGTTTGTGTCAAAAGTTGTCTTTTCCATTGTTTTCAAACCTGTTACACCGTTTATCGATTACAAGTTCAAACTGAAAAGAGAGTTGATCTTTTTATAAGATCTTCTTACAACGAAAAATAAAGATTACAACTTTATCAAACAAAACGCAGCAGTAGTTTATCTCCCGCTGCTTTGCGTGGGATCTTTGCCTGTGCCGGGGACGCGTTAGTCCGTGGACCACCGCAGACCAAAGCCGATCGACAATATAATTACGCTCTTGTTTCACGAAGGAAACAATTGCGGAAGCGACAATCACGACCAAGCGAGATTGTGGCTCTTCTCGAGATTAAAACCAAGTTTAATTCGGAGGAAAGAAGGGAAGAGAATCACAAACCTTTCGAAGGGGGCTTTCTTTATGAAAGTGTTCGCCAAGTTCTGATGATTCTCCTCTGAAATTCGTGGTTGACTGGTCAATTTGACAGCACCTCGCCTTCTTAATCTCAGATCTCCGATCCCCTTGAAAGAAGACCTTAGGCTTCTATTTATAGGCTTTTTGAGATGTGTCTCCTAGTAGGAATTGATGTTTAAACATTATCTGCAGTTTATAACTGTCTAAACGTGTTTATGGATAACCTCAGAGCAGTTGGAGAGGTTTTGGGACGAAAGAATCCTTAAAAATCATCGAAATCCGTGTTTGGGGAGGTTTTTTATCCAACAAGAGTCCTGGTGACTCGGGACTGTGCGAGTCAGCTTCTGGTGACTCGGAACTGTGGGAGTCAGATTCTGGTGACTCGGAACTGTGCGAGTCAGCTTCTGGTGACTCGGAACTGTGCGAGTCAGCTTCTGGTGACTCGGAACTGTGCGAGTCAGCATTTGGTGACTCGGCACTGTTCAAGCTTCTAAGCAATGTTTCGTGATTCTTCCAGCTTCTTTGTTTTGCGTACGCTTCGTCGCCTTGCTGATTTTGGATGAATTCCTTTGACTTGGATAATAACGTTTATCGTCTTTTCCTTGTCTTGCACTGTGTTTGAGGACCTATGGGCAATTTTTAACGCCTACAATAGGTTCCCAATCCTATGGCTGGATGACATGTTGGATCAGCTGGGAGGCGCGAGCGTCTTTTCGAAGGTCGACTTGAGGAGTGGTTATCATCAGATATGAATCCAACACGGCGACGAGTGGAAGATTGCATTCAAGAGTAGTGAGGGCCTCTACGAATGGTTGGTGATACCTTTTGGGTTGTCGGACACTCCAAGTACATTTATGTGTTTGATGAACCAAATTCTGAAGCGTTTCTTAGGAGGATTTGTAGTCGTCTACTTTGATGGCATTCTTATCTATAGCCGAGATGAACAGGAGCATATGTTGCATCTCCGAGAAGTCTTCCAAGTGCTAAAGGAGAATGAACTTTACATCAACCTTAAGAAGTGTGCGTTCTTGATAACTCAGTTAGTGTTCTTAGGGTTTGTGGTAAGCTCGCAGGGGATCCAGGTTAACAAAGATAAAGTCAAGGCAATCAATGATTGGCTGTCTCTAAAAGGGGCTACTGAAGTAAGAAGTTTTCATGGATTAGCATCTTTTTATCAGCATTTTATTTGCAATTTTAGTTCTATAATTGCTCCCATGACAGATTGCTTAAAGAAGAATGGTGTTTTCGAGTGGACCGATGAAGCAAATGCAACTTTTGCCCTTATCAAGGAGAAGATTACTACTGCACCTATATTGGCGTTTCCAGATTTGACAAGCTCTTTGGGCTTGAGTGCAATGCGTGTGGTGTAGGTATTGGAGCAGTCCTCTCTCAAGAGAAGCGCCCCATTGTTTTCTTGTGTGAGAAGTTAAATGAAGCTCGGCAGAAGTGGAGTACTTATGAGCAGGAATTATATGATGTTTATCATTCTTTTAAGAATTGGGAAAGTTACCTCATTGCTAACAACTTCGTGATTTACTCCGATCATCAATCTCTTCAACACTTCAAGAATCAAAAGCATATCAACAAAATGCATGGACGTTGGGCTTTGTATTTTGACCAGTTTAATTTTACTTTGCGACATAAATCAGGAGTCGACAATAAGGTACCCGATGCTTTGAGTTAGAGGGTATCCTTGTTGAGCATATTGCGAAGTAAAGTTGTTTTTGACTGTTTAAAAGAGTTTTATGTTGATGATGAAGACTTTCAAGAGATTTGGGCAAAGTGTTTGACCAGACAACCCACAGGAGACTACATTATCATAGATGGCTTTCTGTTTAAAGAAAATCGGCTTTGTATTCCAAGGACGTCATTAAGGGAAAAGATAGTTCGAGACTTACATAGTAGCGAACTTGGTAGACACTTTGGGCAAGAAAAGACTATTTTGAGTCTTGAGGAGAGATACTATTGGCCAAGTTTAAGGAAGGATGTGGCGGAACTTGTAAGGAGTTGTCAAGTGTACCAAGTTGCAAAGGGGCAAGTGCAGAATACTGGTTTATATACTCCTCTACCTGTGCCCAAGGATATCTGGGAAGATTTCAGTATGGACTTTGCGTTGGGACTTCTCGAACACAAAGGGGCGTGGATTCAGTCTTCGTGGTAGTGGATCATTTTTCTAAGATGGCTCACTTCATCCTGTGTCATAAGACTTCGAATGCACCACATGTTGTACAGCTATTCTTTCAAGAAGCTGTTCGGCTACATGGTGTTCCTACTTTGATTATTTCAGATAGGGATACTATGTTCTTGGTGACTTTTTGGACTACTTTATGGCGACGATTTTGTTGGCCTTCTTGTTTTGATGATGTTTAACAAACAATTTACTTCTAATGTTGTTTGTTTAGTATTTGTGTTTTCTTATTTATTGTAGACAAACAACGTTGTTGGAGGATGGATGGAATAGCGCTTCAACGACGATATCCAAAGGAGGTTGGCGGAATTGTGGAGTGAAGCATCGTACAATTCAAGTTCAAGATCCAAGTTTAGCTTCATCCGCATGTGTACCAAGTCGAGCTCATTGAAGATCAAGATCTAGCTTGGGTAACATAGTATAGGTTTTATATTATGTGTGTTAGTACTTTAAGCTCAATCATATACACACATACACGCTTTGGTTTTGGTTTTGTATATATACAGTTACATATATATATATATATATATATATATAGTTATAGACTTCATAACAACATGTTATATCTTTTATCAAGTCTATACAATCATTTCATAAGGTTTCAAAATATTGTTTAAGTCAAAATATCAAAATATCAATTTTTAGGTTTTCATGTTTTTGAACATATTTGCAAAATGATGATATTTTTCATTTGGGAAGTCCTTCTTCAAAACCAGTTTTTGTAGCATGTTTATTATCATGTCTACAATCATTCCCCAAAGTTTTACATTTTTTGGAATTTATTTGATATTTTTAAACAGCACTTTAAAATCAGCAAAACAGTTTTTGAATATGTCAGTTTTCGGTCGACCGAACCTGAGTTCTCGTGTTCACTGGGCGACAGAGAGTTCGTCGGTCGATCGCCGCGGTCGACCAAGAGCTTCCTTCGGTCGACCGCACCGGTCGACCGGATAAGTCAGCTGGTGTTTTTCTCGTAGTTGACCTAGATAGCGGTCGACCGAAATTTCCGTCGGTCGACCGATCGTTTCTGTCGGTCGACCGCGAATTTCTTCGGTCGACCACCTCTCGTTGTGACTGCTTCCAATGGCTATTTTTGTTACCGTTGCTGGGGTGTTTTTGGTCTTTTGTTTTGGGAGTTTTGGCAGAGTTTTGAGAGGGTATAAATACCTCATTGCTGTCATCTTTCAACTAACTAAGAGAAAAGCTTTAAAGAGTTTTTACAAGTTTGTTTAAGGTTTTCTAAGTGTTTTTAAGAGTTTGGTTTGTGAAGATAATTTCACAAGGGATTGAGGAGATAATCTTTGGTGTTTGGGCTTCAAATCATCTCTCTCTCACTCTTGTCATTTATTGGAGAAGTTTTCTAAACTCAATCTAGCTTTTCATTTTATTGTTTGATTATCATTTTATTAAGCTAGTGTTTATATTGAGTTTAGTTGATTTTATTTTATTTATCTCTTTGTACACACACAACCATTGAGCTTATTGTATTTACATTCATAGTATAATTGGGTTGTGCGATTGTGTATCTTAGAGAGTGAGCTTATATTTCGTTCTCATTCATTATAGAGAACAAACACTTTGTATTGAGCCTAATTGTGAGGATTCACTTGTAATACACTTGTACACCGAGAGAAGTGTGTGGTGAGAGACGGGGTCGAATCCAAGAGGAGTGGCGTCGGTTGACGTGCCTAGGGAGAGGTTGTAACCGAGCACTTGAGGAGGAGGACACGGGCTAGGACCAACACTTAGTGTGTGAGGTGTGATTGCATAGTGATTGTATTGTGAGGTGAAAACGTTGTTCGGGTGAACGTAGAAAACCCGGTTGTGATAGTGGAGATCTCCTCGAGGTGAGGAGCGGAGACGTAGGTCGTGGGGACCGAACTCCGTAATCATATTGGTTGTTTGTGATTGCATTGGCGCACTTACTTTTATGTTCATATCTTATATCGCCTTTGTATATTGCTTGAGGATTATATTGCCCACTATCTAGTCTAGATTGTTTACCCTTGTGTTTGCATATCCTTACATATATCACATTGTATATTTCTTTGATAGGATATATCATCTTGTGTTAGTTTATATATCCTTGGATATACATATTCATCATATAGGATATATCTCTTTGTTTGCATTGCTTATCCTAGCTTATATATCTTGTGGTATTTCATATTTGCTAGGATAACTTATTAATAAGTTTTAATTGGCATATAATCGGATTAGATTAGCATAAGACCCTAATCACCCCCCTCTAGGGTCTAACAGATTTGACACTTCATTGAAGTATTCTAGTATAGCACACCCTCAAACGGATGGAAAAACAGAAGTGGTCAATCGGACCTTGGGAAACTTGATTCGATGTATATGTGGAGAGAATCCAAAGATGTGGGATTAAGCTATACCTCAAGCAGAATTCACTTACAACTTGACTGTTCATAGTTCCACAGGTATGTCTCCTTTTTTCATTGTTTACAAGAAGACACCTCAACATCTCTAAGATTTGTTGAAGTTGCCGACAAGTAGCAAGTTCAGCGAGGTAGCAAGTTCATTGGCCGAGAATGCCATCAATATTCAGGAAGAAGTGAGTACAAAACTTGAGAAAGCCAATGCCAAGTTCAAGGCGCGGGCAGACAAGAAGAGGCGACTCAAGATGTTCAATGAAGGAGACATGGTGATGGTTTACTTACGGAAGCAACGTGTGCCGGTGGGAACATACAACAAGCTTCAACCGAAAAGATATGGACCGTTCAAGATTCTCTAAAAGCTCAATGACAATGCATATGTTGTGGATCTTCCAAAAGGAATGGCTATGTCTAAGACATTCAACGTGGCAGATATTTCTGACTATCATCCTTCAATCGAGTTGTATTCAAGTGATGTGAACTCAGAGATGAGATCTTTCGAAGAAGGAGGGACTGATACAGGAGAACTACACGACCGATATGACATCAATGGACAACGACTCGACATCTCAACTCGAGTCGAGTCGATAGTCGAGATGACTAAAAAGATGGACGAGACGAGACCCTAGTCGTGACCCTAGATGAGACCCCAGCTAACAGGATGAGACGACACACCCTAGTCGACACAAAGGGTAGTGTTAGTCGACACATGCCAATCGACACATGTTAGTCGACTCATGTCCAGTCGACATGAAAGGTGGTACTACTCGGCACGCCTCGTGTCAACTTGGAAAACAAATTAGGAAAGAAGTTTATTTTTGGTTATTTCTTTTTTGACTTAGAGTTTCTTTTCTATTTGAGTTAGGATAGGGTTAGTTGGCTATAAGTATTAGTTCTTTTTGTAAATCAATTATTAACTTTTCAATTATTCAAATCAAGAGAATTTTTTTCTCCTTGTTCCTTTCCAAAGTTTGGAAATTTTGGGCTTGATGATTCAAGCTTGTTTCTTACCTGCTATTATCAGGGCTCGTCGGCATCAAAACGATATCCGATCAGCCTCCCGTTTCTATGTCTACGTCACACCATCACTTTGTCCTTGAGAACTAAGTTCTTCTAAGGTGCTCTACAATACCAAATTTAATAATTAATACATAGGCATAATATATGAAAGATTCAATAGGAAAATAAAAGTCATATCCCTTGTTAGAATTCCTCACCAACTTAGATTATTCTAGAACAACTTTCTAGAACTCATTTCTAGTAACATCCTACAAAATATCTACCAAAAAGTTTCAAGGAAGATACAAGTGTATGACTAGTATTTATTCTTCTAGAAACGTCTTAGTAATGTATGGCTAGGATTGACTCTTCGACACACTTCCTAGCCCACTTAAACAACTTTAAATTGGGGTATTGAGCTCTCATTTGGGAAAGCAAGAAAGCAAGAAGTAAGCTTGAAAGTTTGAGTGTGTAGTATTGGCTTGCGTGAGTGTCCACCAAAATAAAAGAGTTGTGTGAAAGTGAGGTTTTTTTGTAAGAGCAAGTGTTGTGCCCTGTAGTGTTTTATCAATAAAAGTTTCCTTTACGTAGAGGGGTTGTATTTTACAAATTCTATCAAAGTGGTATTAGAGCCTCGTTCGATCTAGTCGGGCCAATCGAAGGTGAGTACGAGATGGCGAACATGATCCAGCCATAGATTTCGAAGCTGATGAAGACCAATTATATCAACTGGAGTATTCACATGAAAGATTTGCTCAGCTCATAAGACTTGTGGGATCTTGTA